GCTGTTGCTAGATAGCTAACTAATGAATCTTCGCTCTGCATGGCTAAAAGTTGAAGATTGATTGACAGGTGAATGGCACGACATTATTGGTTGAAAGTGGTTAGTTCATGCTTACGTAAGCACGTGTCACATTTCATTTCACCTGGACTTTAATATCTGTCAACAGTAGGATGCCAGCTAACATTAGCCTCAAGGGCTAAAAAGCTTGGCAGCACCTCACATTTACTTACATACCGACTTAATCATTCAGATTTTAACTCCTAAATATCACACATGTCCCGTTGAGTCTGTGAGCAGGTGGTTTGAATCTTTTGTGGTTTTTCCCTACATATCCTTTTTCACATGGACAATACTTCACAATATAACTCCCTTTATTTGAATCTTTCTGTTCACACTGGTCTGCCTCTTGCTGTGCGAATGTTCTCAGAATTTCAGAAATGTCTCGTCTATAAATTTAACTGAATGCACTTGCAATGTTACCATGGTTGCAAGACAAATAGGGCTATTCTGGGCTTTTCCAACATAAAAGAAACATGGATGGTCTTACAGCAGTCACCTGAATCATTTCCCTCTGGGTCAGGGTGATCTGGACTGATTGATTGGTTTTAATCTAATCTTCTGCAGAATAAGACTGTAGGAGCTGGTATGAATCACCTGGCTGCTACACGCAGGGGTTTCAGCCCGGGGCTGCCTATGCAAATGAGTACCCATCTCCTTGAACCTGCTCTGATAATGAGGACGGAAATCGAGACAAAGACAGTTCAATATACTGTAGGCACACGCACACATACATGTCTCCAAGGGATACTGTCACAGATGAGAGAGAGAGAAAACAGCATGTAAGAAAGATGTGTACCATGTGTACAGTGACAGTAACATTTACCTTGTTATAACAGTAACTTGTTCATAATTATCATATTCTCGCTGTGGAAGAGGTTTAAACCTCATACCAGGAAGGACAGTAGATTTTCATTTCTACCAGTGATTTTACACGCATCAGCCAGAGAGGAGGAACTCATCATGAAATCATCTCATATTATTTTTGGTTGAAAAAATGAAACATCCCTTCATGACAGTATGAGACCTCGCTCCACTGTGTGTGTGTGTGGATTTTTGCCTTTAGCACAGGAAACGACAAACAAGACATTTTTCTACCAACTCAAAATATTTAGTTGTAGCCGTAGGTGATTAGTACTTTGATATTAGTGGAGCATGTTAAACTAAGCCGGTCATCCAGTGAAAATATTTTGGATGATTGGATTATGCGTCATTCTTCAGCATACTTTGAGTAATTTAGTTTACAATATTCTTCTATGAGATCATTTTTATTGGACTTTGTTTTTTACAATTTTTGATAAAATGTATAGTTCTGGTCCTGAGTTTAGGTCACGTTCCTTTCAAGAATGACAATATAAATGCTTAGTTTAAAAAAAACAGCTATTTCTTCAGTGTGATTATTTTATATCAGTGGTGTATTGTGGCTTATTGCAGGCTTCTCACTTATTTGTACACTGACTAATGTATCAGTATAGGTCTTCTTTTCCGACAGAAACACACTTGATGTATATTATCTCACCCATCTGAGACCTGTGCTAGGGACATATCTATGTTAATAATTGCTTTCATCTTGTTCTCACCGTTATTTCAAAGATATGTATGATCTCCTATAGAGTCATAGCCCTGCCAGTAGAGAGAATGACACTTGTGAGGAGAGCTGTTGAGGTATTTTGCAATATCAAGTGGAGTTTAAAAAAATCTCATTCTCACCTTGTAACCAAACTCTGTCCAAAACTGAGGTGTTTTATTAAATCGTGTCCCTCCCTGCAGGTGTTTTCCCATGTTAATCTATAATTATATTATTAATTTTAGTTCCACTTTCTTTTGATATCCAGTGTGTTGCCCTTTGATGTATTTCAAAGAACTCTGTGACTCTGCGAGTGAATATTAGGTTCTTCCTTATCACTCCTTCTATTGTTAATATGTCCAATTGCTTCAAAATAGATGGTAATTTATACATACTTGACCCAACTCCAAATGTATTTGTAAACAGTGTCACTATTGCAAAAATGTACACAAAACATACATATATAAACCAAATTGCCATACAACCTCTTCAAATAATATTACAACTTTAATTAAGAACCTAGTGTCTTATCTTTATCAGCCGACATTTACTAAAAATAACAGACAGACAGAAAAAAAAGATATTGAAGTAGGGATACTTAATTGTTTCCTTTCTTTTGAACGTACAAGCACGTTTTATCCATTTGTTAGCCGCATTGCAATTTCTCCAATGGCGTATTTGAGAAAGGGCATACTTTAAATGAACAGACACAAATCACAGAATCATTAATTGGAAAATGTAATCAGTGTTATAACTTTTATTACAATTTACCTCTGAAAAAAAATGTATTCAATTGAATTGAAAACTTCAAAATCAAATCACATTTTTGTATGCCTACACATTTCTATTAATATATAACATTGATAACTGCATACATACTGTGAGGGAGCAGACAGGCATAGCAACAGTAACTATGGGGGTGGGGCTTAGTGATCTCATTTCAGAATAAAAGTGTATTATTATATGTTATACATGTTTGTAACCTTAATCACTGTCATATGTTGCTCTAAGCTTCCATAAAATATCACATATTCTAAGCTCTTTCCATATTAGAAATAATCAGTCTGATACTGATTATATTTGTTTGTCTTTTTTATGTATCTATTTTATTTGAATGATTACTGCTGTCTGACAAAAAATAAACTACATACTTACCAACATCTATTATTAAACAATGATAAGCAGACCAAAGCAGGTCTGATCTTTGGAAGGTACATTTCACTGACCAGTAATCCATATTTCCTCCCACCAGGGAAATTAATAAAGAAATAGCAGACAGATTAACTGTCCCATCATAATCAAAACTCGCTCCTGGCTTGAATGTTTTAATTATACGACAAGCAAGATGTTCTATTTCCTCCTTGTGCCCTTTTCTGGTCTCAGCCTGCATGCCCGCTGTCTGATTGGGTGCCATCTATTTCCCTATAGTCTCTCATGAAGTCAACATGCATCCACTTAACCTGTGTCTGTGTCTGGTAGCTGCTGGGATTGAAATGTGCTCTCCTGCAGGATACAGAGGCAGATGAGACTGAACCGTCTAAAAAAACAGGTCAGTCGTTCCTCCCTGCCGCCTCAGAGCAGACTCAACATTTATGATCATCACAGTCACACTCCTTCTCTCAACACCGATCCATCATCCTAGACAAAGAGCCAGCAAGTGAACAAGCAGTTGGTATCAGCACCACAAAACCAATATATCCCACAGACCAGTACCTGTTCCTAATAATGGTTCTACAAAATAAGTCAGTCCTGGTCTTGCTCTCTATGTTATGCAACCAGGCTCTTTATAATTAATGACCTCGCAGAAGTCAAGTGTTTTGTCTATTAGACATGGAAAGTGATCGTATTACTTTACAAAATACCCTTCACTTTCCTTGTGCACACTGCCTTTTATTTGAAGAGAATGTTCCCAAACCTATTGTGTTGCACTTGCAAAACAAACAAAATACCTTTCAGTGGAAAGAAATCAGACTTTAATGGAGGTGTGAATTTGTTTTTTAATGTGGTTACAGAGTTTAGTTTGAATGCCAAACTGAATAATATTGATGGTAAACCACTGGAAATAACATTTATCCCCTTAGTATAATTTGGGCTATATGACAGGTATGACAATATATACCTTGAGACAACAGGTTCTGCTATAAAGTTCATACCTATATCTTTTCTTTTAAGTTTTCTGGTTGTATGTGCTGGTTACACTTAGACAGAATCAATATTGCACTATAAAAACACATACGCTCTGACGAATGGTTTTATCCATATCACACTCCTCTAGTACTCTTACACCTGTTCTTAAGTGTGTCACCCACAAGCATCATCAACACCCAGCACTGCCAAGTTTGTCAAAGTAATATAATTACTCACAAAGTAGAGCAACATGTCACATAGTGTATGTCTTTCACACGGTAGAAGTGTGAGTAAGAAAGGGAAACATGTCCCCAAATAGTCGACTAAAATAACGTTTGACGACTAGTGAACGAATGGCTTA